ACCAGAGGGCAGATGCTGAATGCAGGAGTGCTGCTCAGCCACAAGCCGGGCTGGTGAGCCCAGTGGTGGTGGCAGGAGCCTCTCCTGCCTCCACGGCAGCGCTAAGGATGTCTGACTGATGGCTTAGGCCCATGGGAGTGGGCCTAAGCCATCAGTTGGACATCCCCCAAGGGCTCCTGGACTGCGAAAGGGCACACACCAGGCTGAGGAGACCCCCCCACAAAGTACACAAATGTCGTGCACTGGGCCTCTAGTTGTGAATACATTTAGAACATCCAAAGGAACCATTTCAATTCCTACTGCTGCCCAGGACTCAGCACACTTCAAGCAGAAAATCTATGGAGATAAAAGTCAGAAAGGCACGAAGGCGGTACCTTCTAATGTAGAACAGCTGCACGGCGCCTGGGCTCCCGAAACCGTGATGCACCCCGTCTGTCCAGTAGCACGAAAACGTCTCTAGTTCAGGTGAACGGCACTTGGTGAACTGGGGCCTCCCTGAAGAGTCTGCAGAATAAAAGGAAAAGGCAAAGCATGAAACCAGGAGGGTCATGTATGGTCTCAAAGAAACTCACTTTGAAAGAACGCTTTCTCCTAGAAATGCTGTTTTCCTAAATCACACGTTTAGAGCGCGTTGCTTGTCAGTTATTTCTCTGTCAGCCCTGATTCCACGGACAAACCATTTGTCTTGATTTCAGATATTGTTTCCTAGGGCCTGTTTGCTAGTAAGAAACCAGGGCTAGAGATGAGGATCTTGGAAGAGGAAGTTTATTTGGGAGGTGACCCCAGCAACTAGAAGTGAGAGAACGGGATTGGGGAAGGGGAGGGAGCCCAGCTGATAAAGTGTGTGTTATTCAGCTGGTTATCATGGTGGCTCCTCTGAGATCCTGTAGAAAGTGTGCCTCCCTGCTGTCCTGGACAAGAATGACAGGCTGGGTTAGGGTTAGGGTTGAACTGCAGACTAACCAGATAAGGAGCAAAACAAACAAACAAACAAAAAACAAAACAAAACAAAAACACCACCAAACCAAATCAAACCAAAACTTGACCATTTCCAAAATGGCCATGGAAGTCAGAAGAACAATGAGAACTGATATACAACAACGCTTTGTCCCAGATGTGCCTCTCATCTGTGTATAGCTGCAGATTTAGCAGATGCAGAGAGTTTAACCTAATATCCCAACATATAGGAGGCATTCTCCACTTCCTAAAATAGACTTGACCCATCTGTACGCATAAGTTGTTTAGAGTTGGACATCTAGTTAATGAGTTTACTGGCTAAATCTTTTAAAAGAATGCAATCGTGAGTGGCTTTTTATTTAAAAATCTATATAAAGAGAAAAGGCCCTGTCGTGGATGCTGTGGTCCCTACGTCCCATCTCTTTGCCCACCGGATGTCAACGCAGCCACCACTGCACATGGCTGGGCATACTTCAGGTGCCTGCCGAGGTTTCTCAGAAGTCAGGTGAGGACTCGGCCCAAGTGCAGGTGCAGTTGAGTTCATGGGCCTTAATACCTCCAGGGCATCCTTCAGTCAGTGCATGATGGGAGCTGTTACTCATGAATATGTCGAAAAATGTGTGTTTCCTTAGGCAGCACCTGTTACACAGAGAGGACCTGGAGAAATTCCTTTTCTTAATAGCTGACGCACTGAAAACGGTAATTTTTGGTCCTTCCAGAAAATCAGTGATTAGTAAAACATACTTAAACCACAACTATTTTAATGCCTGCAGGTTTGAGGAAAAAGGGTATTTCATTCTGACAGTTATTTACACAAAAGGTAAGAAGAGAAAAGGCAGAGGAGAGGGGGTTGGGGGAGTGAGTAAAAAGGGGAAGGGACTGAGAAGTGCAGATTGGTGGTTGCAGAATAGTCACGGATGTACTCCCACAGCACCGGGAGTAAAGCCAATAATACTGTAATCACCATGTATGGGGCCAGGCGGTACTGGAAACATCAGGGTGAAGACTTTGAAAAGTATACCACTGTCTCACCACTATGCTGTACACCAGAAACCAACACAAAATAATACTGAATGTCAACTGTAATTGAATAATAGTTCTGCTTTCTTTTTTCAAAAAGAAGAGGAACTCCACTGCATTACAAATGGAGAGATCGGTGTGCTAGCCCTGGCTCTGAGATGGTCTGCCTGTGACCTTCCAAAGCCATTGTTTGGGGCAGAAAGAAGAGGAGGAGCAGTCGAAGTGGGGAAGGGATGGTTGGAGGGAAAGGCCAACCCGACCTTCTCCAGAGCCAACCTTCTGCAGAGCTTGGGTTGAGAGTGACACTCAGCAGCCACCTGCCCTCGCACGGAGGACCTCGGCCGCACCATGTCGCTGCGTGGACCACCTGCTGTCAACAGCCCCACACACCTGTGATCACCCCTGAACACAGGCTGTGGTGGGAGGGGCTGGAAGGGACAACCGTGCCCTCTGGCCAGGGTGCAGCTCAGCACAGCACAGCAGGGAGCATTGCCTGTTGAGGGAGCAGCAGTGGCAAACGAAGGGAAAGGAGGAAAACAAAGCAATGGGTCCCCGTGTGAGTAAGAACTACAACTTGTACAGACAGTCCAAGAAACACAATTTCATAGGATAGATAAATAGACTCGAGACATGGTTTTAATCCTAAAGAAGGAGAGAAATGGTAAGATCAGAGCAGAGTATGGGATTATAGGTGCCTGGAAAATGAAAGAGGAAACACTGTAATGAGAGCCAAGCAGGAAGCTCATTGGGCCCGGCGACTTCTGGCCCCTTTTGGGTGGATCTGGGTTCCACTCAGGAATCTGCACAGGCAGCCGATCTCAGGCCAGTTTGGGAAGCGTTGCCACAGCAGCTCGGTCACCCCGATGTGGATCAAGCGGTTACTGCTGAACTCAAGCCAAAGTGAGGAAATACTTGCTGTCAGTGGAAATCGCTTTCATATGCTCTGAGGATTGCACAAGCACGTGGGTCCGGCCAAGTGTGGAGAAACTGCCGTGTTCCTTCCCCAAACGATAAACAAGAGGCGGTCATCCCAGCGGTCAGTCCACTCCCCGGTCCTCGCCTGCACAGGCTTTGGGAGAGATCTCTGGGGACTGAGTAGCCGAAATGTACCGGGGATTGACCAACACCTTTGTATACAGCCTCTACGTTTGGGTAAAGCAACAGCATAGAGAGATCTCCACGATCTTGGAAGGTCTGATGAGAGAGGACATGGACATCCGTCCTGCTGTGGTGGAGAGAAGCCACTGCATTCAGCACAGCGGATTTTCCAAGCCCCCTTCTCAGGCCAGGACCAGATGGAAGGGGACTAATAACATGGTCACAGCAGCTAAGACTCAGGGGTGACCACGTGCCAGGCACTACCCTGCACATCACATGCATTAACTCCCTTCATTCTCACAACTATGGAAGGAGGTAGGTACTGTTTTTCTCACCATCTCAGAGATGAGAGCACTGAGAACAGAAGTCAAATAACTGGCCTGCGGTACCAGGTTACCAAGAGCAAGAACGCTCATTGCAACCGGGCAGACAGTCTTATTTCAGAGTCTCATCGAAGCCACGACCCTCGTAGCTTTCAAAGTCCGAGAGTGGCCCTCGGGAAGGAATCACCACCCAGTATGCACATATTTACTCACGTGATAGGTCAAAAAATAAACTATCTCAAGACATGCTAACTCTTCATGCCTGCAATGAACTCCGATCTACTCTATTCCAGTTTATAAATGCTGCTGCTCACGACCCGGAAAAGTGATTTCCTAATGGGCCCCCACGTTCAGTTTGAGAGACACTGCACACAAAGCTCCCCTGCGTCTCTGAAAGTTGAAAATTAATGTGCCTCGCACTCAGAGCCAGGCAAAAGTGCACCCTTTACCGGGCACACGTATGACATGGTCAACAGGACTGTGGTTTCCAGGTAACCGAAACTTATTCTTGAAATCCTTTCCCCCACATATATATTTAAAGATTTTTTTGATCACTAAAAAGAGTCAAATGTCACATGACCTTTTTAATGGCTTTGCATGGGGGCCAGGGATTATCATATGGAATTAGGATGTACGCGTGCATAGGGAAGGCTGGCCTCTTCTGGCCCCCACACTAAGTAGCTGCACTGCTTTGCTGGTGAGTTTCATGCTCTCACTTCAGCTTTGCTTAATTCCCAAGCAGTTCTTTCCTGGAGTGACGTAGTTTTTTAATAATAATAACAATTCTCCATCTTGAGAGGTGCCTTGACAGTTGATGGAAGTTACTGGGAAATAACTTGATGCTACTGGGTCACACCTGAGAGCACAGACTTGGGAGCCGGCCTCCTGGGTTCCAGCCCCACCTCCATCTCGTACGTCTGTGCGATCTTGGGCAACATACTTGGCCTCTTCAGTTTCCTCACCGGTGAAACGGGATGATGACGGACCTCATAGGGTTATTGTGAAGATCAAGGAGGTAAGAGATGTCAACCTCTCAGAACGGTGCCTTCCTCTCAGGAGAAAGTAAGCACTGTGTATGTGTGTGCTGTTATCGCCACCCTCACAGTCCGCTGGGGTTGTCAGTGGATGATCTGGTAACTGCTGTTACCTAGGAAGTGCTGGAGATGGGCACTGTCACATCTGAGACCCATCCTCATTTCCCAGGCTGACGGTGACAAGTCCTGAGGTGCTGGTTGGAACGTCGGAAGTGGGTGAAGTGGTGCTGTGACAGCGTGCCCCTCACTGGTCACAGGGGATTCTCTGTGGTGTGCTCCAGATGGTCAGGGCTACCAACGCAAGAGTTCTACACAACTGGAGGATGTCGCTGTATCCTGACATACCGGTGTTAACATGTAAAGAATCCCAAGCAAAGGCCTGCCCTGTGGTTCCCGAGAAACCACGCTGCAAGTCTAGAAGTTCCTGGGTGGGAGGAGACTCAGCAGCGACTCAGGCCTCAAGAGGGCCTCGGGGACATTAAGAATGCTGCCTGATGCTTTCCCTGTCGACCAGGGTCCCAGCGGGAACTGCCGAGGCCTCTGGGCCGTGACCTTTCAGAAGCAGCACACTGAGTGGGCAGTCTGAACTGGAATTGGAATTCTGGTTCTCTCACTAATGGTTTACCCAACTCTCCCACCCAGAGTGAAAACAGCTAACAGGAAAATCTGAATCTCCAACCTCTTCTCCTCCTTGTCTGCCCAAACCTGTTCTCTGCTCAACAAAGAAAAACACCTTCCATTTTTCGGTCCTTTGGATTTTTTTTTTTTTTTTTTTTTTTTTTTAGAGACATTCGCATCAGACATTCCATGTCTCAGCTAATCAAGAAGCATTTATGCAGCAGCTATCAATGGGTAAGACACTCTTTTGGGTGCGGTGGGAATTATAAAAATAATGTGTGATGCGGATTCTGCCTTTGAAGAGCTGTAACCGGGCATAGGAGATGACACCCGTGCCTGTGAGAATAGCTCACAGTGAGTTCACAGAAAGATAAGGGCTTTAGGGAGTCAGAAGAAGTGGGGGTGGAGGGACAGAGGAAGGTTTCACAGAGGAGTAAGGAGAGGGCGATTAACT